AGGAGAGTCCAAATAAACTAACTAGCTAGTTAAGTAGGCTAAACTGAGCTAATTATTACAACACAAATTAAATTAGCTAAACTAATTAACTAATTATTACAACAAATTGAACTAATTACCTAACTATGCTAGTTAACTAATTATTACAAATCGAATTAATTAACTATTCTAGCTAACTAATTATAATTACAACAAAATACAAATTAGCTATTCTAACTAATTACAAAAGCCACTAGTTGAGCATAAAATTAATCTATTACAACGCGGATTCCAAAGATTGATGAGGAACTCATGCATGAACGCGGTTTCGACCCGAAAAGCCATTGTTCTGCTGCTGCATGCCTCTGTTACTCAATAGGACACTTGCACTAATTTCCTTTTCCAGACCAATTATGTTCTGTCTCAGAAGTACACTGCTGAATTTGCATTGGTGGCCGACAGGGGGCCGGTCGGCCACTGATGAGGGTCGATCGGCCACTGCTGATTGGACTCCCTTGCTGCAACAGAGAGAAAATAGAGCAGGATAGTGTATTGCTCAAGGGTTTGTTTGCACAATTCATCCCCTTTTTCATGGACAAATCAAAGGGAGACAAACCTTGGTCTTCAAACCATCAACTCAAGTAATTTCGTTGCATGATGGCTCATGAACCAAAGTGTGCAATATCATTGAATGCATAAACAAGACCCACAACCTTCACCCTATCATGCATGATAAAAGGTAATGGAGACCTAAGAAACTTGGCACATTTTATCACTTTGAGTATGAAATGCCCCAATTTTCCTTGTGTTCAATTAATGTCCAATTGAACACACCAAAACACAATCAAATTGTTATCTTCGCACAATTTTAGTTTCAACTTTTGTTTACTCATTTTAATTACCCTTCCATCCTTTAACCAATTAAGTCCATTGGTGAAAAGTCCTCTAAAAGAGAAGGAAGTGTCAAACAAGGGGCAGTTTAAGGCAAGAGAGAAGTGTCATGTCGTTGATAATGAACCCCCTAAAGAGGATTAAACCATTAAGCATGAACCTCAATCTCAAGCTTAAACAATCCTAAGGTTGAAACAACCCTCAAAGCAAACAAAGAGTCAAGAAATAAGGGAGGTTGCAGAGATTATGCTTGCTGAAATTAAGTGAGAAAAACACTTAAAACATGCAATCAACTCAAACAAATAGTGTTTAAAGGCCTAAAACACTAAGCTTGTGAGGACACTTACATTACAAGCATACAATACAAGACTCAAATACAACAACCAGCTAAAAACAAAGGCAAAACAGTCTAAAATAGAGCCTAAAACATGCTGGAATTAAGATACAAATGGCTAGAAAAATAAGCTAACACATAGAGCTGACTAGGCTAGCAAACAAGGCACAAGGAGGGAAGGCTAACCCCTCCAAATTTGGACTTCAAAACATTATTTTCACCACTGAAATTACTCTGAAATTCAGTGTTCAAAAAGTCCAAAAAAAGATAGTTTGAAAGTGGGAAACAAAGGTAGAAAGGCCTTATAAACAAGGAATAAAGAAGGGTGAGCCACCTCTTAACCTTAAATGGCCTAAAACCACCAATTTCAGCTCACAAAATAGAGATTTTTTTTACAGCCCCAAAACAACCCAAAAATCAATGGGAAAAAGATAGAAAAACAAGTATGCAAAGCAAGTTAAAAAGGTAAGTGTTATACGTCTTGAAGCAAAGATCAATCCTAGGCAATAATTCAAGCCAAAACCAACTTCAAGAGCTCCAAGAAGGCTTCAAGGAACCTCAGTCCAATGGTGATCAACTTTGGTTAAGGAGATGTAGGCAAAAGTGTAGTGTATGTAGGCTAATGTGCACAAATTTGCAAGAGAGAGAGAAAGAAAGAGAAATGTAGAGAGAGAGAAATTTTTGCTCCAAAAAATTCTAACCCCCCTAAAATGTTTCTAAACTTTAAAACCAAAAGAGAATGTCAAGTATATATAGAGAAAACAGTCCTTTACTCGAAAATATCTGAATTGGGACAGCTGGAGCATTTGGGGGACAACTGGCCAAAAATATCTAGGTTTTTCACCAGTGGCCGACCGGCCAGAAGTACGCATTGTCGGCCATCAATGGTGGCCGGTCGGCCATAAAAAATATACTTCCAGGCCCGACTTCAATTGGGCATATCTCTTTCATCCGGACTCCTTTTCAGGTCATTCTTTAGTCTAAATTGAAGCCCCGGAAATGTACTTTCCAATGGTGGCAGCCTCACATCTAAATTCTAAGTATGCAAAGAGGCATGCCTATTTTAGTGAAGGTTGTTCAGTTTTGTCTTAATCGGATTGATGCCTGACTTCAAACAGCCATATCTCCCTCATCCGGACTCGGCTTTAGGAGATTCTTGAGTCTAAAATATGTAGCCCCGGAAGTCCCCTTTCCAATGGTGGTGACCTCACAACTAAAGTCCAAGTGTACAAAAGGATAGGCCTGATTTAGTGAGGTTGCCCAGTTCTCTCTTAATGGTTTCAAGCCCAACTTCTTCCCCAACTAGTTTTCTTCCCTCTCCTCCAATTTTCTTCAACTCCAACCTTATAAATAAGAGGTTTAAAATATTTTTGAAAGTGTTCACCTCTCTTTCATTTATTTCCACTTTGTCCGTACTCAATTTACCGAAAAGTGTAATTTTTAATGAAATACGAGCCTCGAAACATCGTAGAAACATTTTCAAAAATATTTTGAAAGAGAGGGTTTTAAGGTCTAAAATAATTTTGGTCAAAAAAGTTTTGGTCCAAAATGGGGTGTAAGGTTAGGATTTAGAGCTCTTATTGCTGAAGAAATTGAACATTTGCACAGCACAACCCATCATCGAGTGATTAATCAATAACGCCCAAGTCTTAAGGGTGTCTACAGTATGCTTCTTCTTATACTGTTATTGTCTCTTGTGTGACTTCTTCATTTATCTCTTTCTCTATGAATCACAGATTTAGAGTTCCTATAGGTAGCATGAACAAAATTAGTGATTTTTTATTTTATTTTTGGCCATCATCGTGTCCGAGAAGTGTTCGGAGAGTGTCAGAGGTGTGTCCAGCAACTAAAAGAAGTGAACAAAAGTGGGATAGAAGAGAGGGCATATCTGACACGTGTTCGAACTTGTCTGTGTCCTAGACGTGTTGGACACTAATACGTTAGGTGAGATGGAGTGCATGTGCTTCATAGGTTTTCATATATAATGGGCGTGATTCATGAGATGAATGTTTAACCTCATGGTTATATTAAATGTGCTTTATGTAGATAAAGGAGTTTCATTTACATGAGATCTCCCAAGTTTTGTAACTTGGAAATTTCACAGTTGTTAATAGAATTAGAGTCTGTATTAGGTCAGCAACAACATAATTAACTTTTAACTTTTATATGAGTGGTTGGGGTTGCCCAACTAGAATATGACATTTTGAGAATATGTCAATTCAAAGGCTGAATTTGTGGTTCATTCAAGTAATGTGGTATGAGAAATACTAATTTAAGGGATGTGTTATGTGATGTCTATCATGGAATTCCTAGAACACGTCATTTCTTTTCTATCTCAGTTTTTGCTATTTGCTTCCAATATTCCCTTTTTTTGTTGGTAATATATTTCTTTTTGATAATTAATCACCTCTAAATGTTAATAATGCAGGCATTGATTTGGAAAATCCAGTTATTGATGTCACTCCATCTCCCCTCATGGTTATATATCATCTTCTCATGGTTCCAAAGTTGTTTTATTGTGTGAACGCGTTCGAGTTGTTGGTTAGTCAAGATTGAAACTTGGCAGTTAAGCCAGTGGATTTCAGGTTAAATTGGTCCCATTTGCAGTAATTCCTGAGAAACTTCACAACAAAATTTAGATTTGTTTTCACCAGTAAGTGAAATGTCCTTGAACTTTGACTTTTTTACTCCCATGCTCTTTCTCTCGCTGATACTCTACTTTACATGGACTTAGGTACAAGTGTGGGGTGCGGGTATGTATCTAGGGGTCGGACTCGACAAACCTCTAAATGAGGGATATGGAGTACGTGGATACGGCTAAACATGGATGTGTCAAAAAAATATTATGTATTTTTCTGATAAAGTTACAACAATTTATGGCTTAGAATGATTAAATATTTTTATGATGATACTACACATTTGTAGTTAAAAAATATTGAATAAAAATTATATATAATGTTATTAAATTTTTTATTTTATTTTCCATGGATAGAAGTTAAATTCCAACTCCTTAATTAGTATTAGTCCCAAAACATGAGAAGCTCATGTAAGACCATCTCCAATGCTGCATCTAATATTTCATCAAATTTAAATTTGATGAAAAATGACAACTATTGAACCTCCAACCCTTTCATCAAACTCATATCAAATGAGGGATGAATCAAAACTTTTATCAAATGAAGGGAGGCTTTTATTTTTCATCAAATTTAAATTGTTACCGTTCGGCTGGACATCCTCTCGGATGTACACCTAAGAGCAACTTTGATAGCTTTTTTTGTTCATGTCCGGATGACTTCTAGGACATCAATCCGTATGTCCTCCCGAACAACTGGGGATGGAAAAATCTGATGAAAATTATAGGGTGTGTTTGGTTTGTGTCTTGAGATAAATTTTCAAAATTTTTTTTGAAAAGAGTTTAGAAATTTCTTTGATTTGTTTGGTTGTATATTTTGAAAATAGTTTGGGAGTTTGGAATGATTTGATATTTTGTTGTAGTTGAGTAGATGTGTGTGAGAGAAAAAGTGATTGAGAGGATGAAAGGAGAGAGAAAAAATGATTGATTAATATATAATAGAGAGAAGCAATTTTGGAATTTTTTAAAGAAAATTTGTAACCAAACATGTTTTTAAATTTAATTTTTTTTTTTAAAAAATATATTTTAAAACACAAACTAAACACACAAATAATTTTAGTATTAGAGTGAACGGCGTTAAATAAAACTTTTCATCAAATTTTATTAAAATTTAATGAAAATTTTGATTTACCGATGCTCTAAAAGCCAGCCAACACAATAGCCTTATAATTTTTATTATAAGCCCCATTTTATTAACAGACAAAGTGTAGCCTAAGCCCAAATTCACCAAACCCTAGCAGCCATCAACGAAGTTGAATACAGATTATGGAGATGACGAACGACGACGATGACGATGAGGTCGCGAGCCATCTCTCTCTCTCTCCTTCCTTCCTCCTGTGTCCTGGCCGTATTCAGTGCTCATGTTGTGTCGTGTCGACACAGGTACAAGATGGCCGTATTCAAAGATGGCGTCTCTTTTGTCTTGCTTTTGGTTTTGTTTTATTGCTGTTGGCACCAGTGGTCAGCACTTGGGTTCCCTTCTATTATCCTTCTTTTTCAGGTATTTGGATTTGATGTACATTGTATAGTAGTCTTTTTTTTAAAGAAAAAAAAATCTGTTGCCTTTTATTTTGCTCTGTATTCAATTTCAATCACATAACAAAAATCAAAGTTGTTGGCCTGTTTAGTTGTGCAGAAATCTTGAAATGTTTTCAACATGAAATCTTTGCAACCTTTGACAAAAATCTGGTTGTAGAAAATATATCCATTCACTGGTAATATTGGTGATATGATCCATAACAACCAAAAATCTTATAACCTGTGTGGATTTTATATTTTCATGGTCTCTCCAAAGGAGAAGAAATGATAAGAAATAAAAATAGGGCTTAGATTTTTGTCCTTCTCTAGCTTTAGAATTAAATGATGAAGAGGATGGAAAAGTCTTCTTGTCTCTGTATTGCATAATTTAGAGTGGCACTTCTTGAAGATACAAATGATTAATAGTTGTTTAACGTTGACCAATTAATGTTCCTGTAAAGAGTGATCTGATATGGGTTCATGGTGCCAAAAAGTAGAGGAAGGTCAAGAAAAGTGGCATAGGATGGAATTATCAAAAAAAAAAAAAAATAAAAGAAAAAAAGGGAAAAAAAGGAGTGACATAGGATGGGGCGGTGATAAATTGCATGATTGCTTCAGACTTAATCAAGAATATGGATTGGAATAGAGTGGATAGAAGAAAACAAATTCGTGTACCTGAAGCCAATTAATTGGGGCCAAGTGCTGTAGAACAACCGGAAACGAAGAATAGTAATACCGAAGAAAGAGAATAAACCACACAGAAAACAAAACAAACCCTAAAATACTCAAATACAGCTCTCAATTTTCAACGCTTATTCAACGCTGAATAATCCTCCTACATAAAGGCCTAGTTACCCTTCTTATGAGAGGAAAACTTAGCATTATGACTTGTATTAGATTCATTATTCTTCAATTGAGTTTTTATTGCTGGCTGAATTGTTGGTGATGGGGAATATATTTGATTCTTCTTATTCGTTTGATTTGGTGTAATGAATTTCCGGATTTGATTTTGATATTGATTATTGAATATATTTGATTTTGCTTTGGAACTGTTTCCCTTTTCTCTCCTCTCTTCACACTCTTCTTACTTCTCTTCTCTTCTCTTCCTCTTTCTCCTTTATCGTTCTTCTAGTGCTACAACTGTTGGAGCATGGGTCTACTATCATTTTGTATTCAAGTGCTATAATTTTATAAAACATTTTACTTCCTAGTTTCATATGCTGCTTCTGAATTTATGGATGAAATATCTCATTAGACTGCTGCTGAAGTTGGTTTAGGGGATGAAATTATTACCAACTGGGAGGAAAAATGTTTTCGACCTCACTCTATATGGATCGTTGGTAAGTGCTTTTCTGCTTTTATATAGCGATGTTAGGATCTTTTTTTTGGTGTTTAATATCTTATGGAATTGACTAGCGTTTCATGTCAGCTTGGAGCTGGTTCCTTCCTGTTACATCACTTTTCAATGTTGGTCAATTCAATTCTTGTCAGTTTTGGGCTGAGTGAAGAGATGCACAACCCTGTATGTCCTTCTAACATTATGTTTATATAATCAAGACTTGTTTACCCAAAGTAATTGGCTTCATTTGGTCTGGAATGTACTGTATTTCAATTTTTTAGTGATTTAGTATGATAAATAGACTAAATGTTTGTTAAATAGCTTATTAGTTGTAGTATATAAATAGGTGATGTAATACCCCATTAGTTTTGGAATAAACAATTCAATTCTTGTCAGTTTTGGGCTGAGTGAAGAGATGCACAACCCTGTATGTCCTTCTAACATTATGTTTATATAATGAAGACTTGTTTACCCAAAGTAATTGGCTTCATTTGGTCTGGAATGTACTGTATTTCAATTTTTCAGTGATTTAGTATGATAAATAGACTAAATGTTTGTTAAATAGCTTATTAGTTGTAGTATATATATAGGTGATGTAATACCCCATTAGTTTTGGAATAAAGAATATATATTGTGATTGGAGTAGGGCTTAGTTTCTCTCTCTAGCCCTTAGGGGTTTTATCCCTAATTGGGGCATTTTTCTTCTCTCTCTCAATTTGATCGTGATTTGGCATTTGGATTTCATTATTTGGTATCAGAGCATAAGATCTTGTACTCCATTGTTTCTAATTGTACATACAACTCATCAATTAGAAAGGAGCAATATACCTGACTCTGAATTTAAACCCTAATTCTTGGATGCGAACCCTAGATCATCTCACCAGAAGTTGCCATCACAAGTGTGATTGATTTGATCCGAAGCCATAGATTTGACATCACAATCAAGAGTTGACTCTAGATTTGGTAGTCGTGACTTGCATTTGGACCTTTCACACTAGTGATTCAACATTGCAACAGGATCTCGAAGCCTTCGAGTTCAGATCTCAGTTTAAAGCCCTTCATTTGTTTGCATATGTTAGGAAACCAAGGAATAACTATCTCTCTGAAGTCGAAGTGGAAATTGCGATATTACCAGATTGCTTCGTTGATTCCATTGGACGAAAGAGGGATTTTTTTTTTGTTCAGTTGTTTTGGGTTGCATTTGGTTCAAAGTTCAAACCTAGAATCTCTCTGAAGTTGAAGTTGAAGACCTATCGCGATTTGAAGACCCATTGCAAACTTGAAATTGTTATTGTTCATCGTGATTTCAACCTAGCTCTTTAATTTGAGTTCACGTTCGCTGAAGTTCTTGAATCCTCTTATTGAGTCAAGTTCGCAGACTTTGAATTCAACCTAGTTTGGCCTTGCGATCTGACTTGCAAGATGAGATTCGATCTGGGTTTGGTCCTTCGATTCCAGTTCGTCGCTGAATCAGGTATATCAACTCTTCGTGAACCAACTCTCTTGGATTCCCTGTACCATTTCGATTCATCTTGGGTTCGAAGCTGTGAGTCGACTTCGACAATCACTTGCAAGTTGCGATGCAACCCTCTGCAACAAGTTGATGTGAGTAGTGAACTCGTCTTCTTTTGAAGTTGCGACTGCAGATTACCAAAAAAATCAACTCAAAGATTTGATCTCATAGTTCAGAAGTGATTCAAAATCTAACTTGGTTCGGTTTTTCAAGTTGATTGACATGACTCAATTCAATTCTGGTATGTTTGACTCAACTTTCTTCTCAATTGGAATTGTCCTGAATCAATTCGCGATGTGGCTATCTTATTCTTGATTCTTGTTCTTGGATTGGATCTTGATTATTTGCTACTACATACTGCTGTGAATGGATATCGAATTGAGTTGTCCTCAATTGGGAAATTGGGTCTGAAACTGTGATCTTTGTGATCGGCATATCTAGATTGTTTGTGGGTCATATTGGGTTTGGTTATGGCTAATTAGGATCGAGGTCATCGAAATGGCCATGGTAGAGCTTATGCTCCGACTTTGGGTGAAGAAACCGAGATGAAGTTCTCAATTGGAAGGGACACTGATGCTAATCCAAATCAAAATTCATAATCAAAAAGATGAGTTGAAGCAAATGAGTGGACGACTTGTTACATCACAAGTTGCCATTGAAATTTTTTATAGCTTCAAAGAAATTATTTGAAGTTTATCGTTAGGACTCTTTCATACCTCTTTACGAAGTTGTTTTGACTTTAGTGGGTTGCTTGTGTGCTCAATTCACATTTGTGCCAAGGGAGGAATGAAAGAACCAAATTCCAACTCGTGATCAACTACTCTCATGGTTTTGCTTGGTGGATACATTGTCCATTCTATCATTATGTCAATCTTCTCAGCTTTGCTTTGGAAGATGTCATTTGCCAACCATTGGGCTCATTCTGACAGAATGAGTACTCTTCTGCAGTATGCAAGTTAGAGGTGAAGGGGTTTGGAAATGGGGGGTCTATCTGAGTTTTTTACCGAGAGGATATAGACACTGGTAGGTCGTTTTGTACACCAAAAATAAATCCTTACTAAGACCTTAATTCAATAGAATAGTGGTTTAGTTCGGGTATCGATCCACAGGGACTAAAAGGCTAAGTTGTTTAAATTTCAGATTAATTCTTAAATCAATTCAAAAGTAGAAAAGAAGAATTTTGTATGAGCTTAATTAAATTAAACAAATAAATATAATTAAACTAGTATTAATCAAATAGAAGAGACTCAGGGTTTTGAATCCACCATAACCTTGTAATCAATGAACTGTAACAGTTTACAGATTTATTATTCAACTCAACTATGATCTGTTAGTGACTACAAGTCCCAACAGTATTGTCTAGAGGATAATTGGCAGTTTAATGATTAGCATACACTGTCTAGTACTAGCACGAATCGTCTCCCCTAGCATAGACTTTCTTAACCAAATAAAAGCAAATCAATGAAAACCGTTGTATAAGTATGCAATTAGAATCACAAAAACTAAGAACATGTGCTAGATAGAATGATTCAAAACAAAGTAATAATATAGAAAAGCCTTAATCTTATACAACTGTTGAATCAATAATAAAAACCCCAAACTAAATACAGAACATTGTTACTTGACTAGAGTTTCATCCAAATCCTAAGAGGAGAGCTCCTTAGCCGCACATGTGTTCGTAGCCTCCTCCTTCTCTCTCTAAAATCAAGAACAACCCTAATAATGAAGAGGGTTTTATATTTATAGACATTAGGAGCCTTCTAAGTAATACCCAAGAGGTTAGAATTTCCAAAAATGAAAGGAAAATTCGGATGTAATTATTCCTAGCTTTTTAGGCCTATCTTGTTGGCCTGTTTTGACCTATTAAAAGTCAGAATTTGAAAATTCCTATTTCACCAAAATTGTAGCCCTTTGAGTTATCTTTCCAATGCCGCTTGAATCACTTAAATTTGATATTGGACGAGAGAGATACATCCAAAATACTGAAGGCTGTGCATAGTGACTTCTATAGCGGGATTGTAACAATTTTAACTTTTCTTTCTTCAAATCTCATGGGTTTGGCTTTTATTGCTTGATTAAAATTATTTAGGTTCTTCTAGGCCTTCAGAGTTGCGTTGGAGCTTGGTCTCGGATTTCAAATATGAAATTAAGTCCAATTTCTACTCATAAACTTGAGTGACCTACACACATACAAACATATTAAAAATCATCAAGTAACAATGATTAAAGGACCTAACAAGTATACTTTAAGGGGCCTAAATGTATACATTTTGGCAATTATCATACACCTATGGTTGTTGAGCCAAGGATGCAAGGATGAAGTTCAATGTATTTGCAGACGGCTAAGTTGAGAGAATCATGTTTGTTCTTGAGCAAGGAAATGCAGCACCTATTCCTTACATATCGTTACATTAGTAGTATTATGTTGAGTTTTCTTAGTTGGTACTTAAACTTGAGGACAAGTTTCTTAAAGACGGAGAGTATGCTGTAGTATAATAAATAGACTAAAGTAGCCTATTAGTTGTAGTATATAAATCGGTGATACCCATTGTACTTAGTTTTGGAATAAAGAATATACATTGTGATTGGAGTAGAACTTAGTTTCTCTCTCTAGCCCTTGGGGGTTTTACCCCTAATTATGGCATTTGTCTTCTCTCTCAATTTGACAAATGCTCCAATTACGGGTAAAACCCCTAATGGATAACTAGTTCGGAAAACCCATCTTTTTGTCTTCGTTCGTTGCCATTCGGAAAACCAGTTTCGAACAAAAGCATGATGTTCAGTACTATATAGCCGAACAAAAGGCATATGTTCAGTTGTGGAGTACCGAACATATTCAACAAGTTCAACTCTATGTAATCGAACAAAGAGAAATCCACCTACCTGTGAGGTAGAGAGAGAAATCGATGGGGAGAGAGGGAGGTGCGCACAAAAAAGAGGAGAGTAGGTTCCGAAGGATGAAGATGAAGATTGCGAAAGAGAGTTAGCGAATCAGTCGCTCTTTCTCCACAGCTGCCGCCAAAGTCCTAACCTTCGGCGCCATTGATAGTTCTGTAAACAGCAGGTAGTGGCGAGAGGTTCACTGAAGGAGAAAAATAACGGTGATGGGTTGGTTGCTGGAGGCCGCCGGCGGGAGCGGGAGTGGAAGTGGTGGTAGGATTAGGGTTAGGGTTAGACTTGGGAGGATAGGATGAGGACAAAATTGGAATTTGATGTTAGGATAAAATTGTAATAAAATAAAATATAAAAAATGGAGGGTTCAAAGTAAAAAGGTAGTGGCATTTAGTAGCCCTCATAGATTATATATATTCTAAACCCAACCCCACTTTTGAAGTATGACAAATTTCTATTGTGCAACCCTTCAACTAAAACTCAACAAAATGATTTGATAAATGTCAACTCATCTAAAAGCTTAAATTGTTGGAGAAAGTGGTGACTTCACTATTTATAAATTATATCCTCAACAAGCCCCTCACATGTGGCCAAACTCTCCTCCAAAAGCAGGCCAAAGGGGTGCAAGTATTATAATAATCGGGTAGGTGTTGAGTTCAAACACATGATCTATTACCTGCTCTATACTTTGATAAATTGTTGACAAGCAACTCTTCCTGTCCTTCAACATGATCCTTAAAGTTTTATGTTGTCATTGCAACTTTTCTGGCTGCCATTATAAAGAACAATACAGTTTCCCTGAGATTAGAAAAAAGAAGAAATGCAAATACATGTGTTGTATGAAAAGAAACAACAGGAAAACATTCCTAAGTAAAGAAGAATACATTTGCATGCGTTGTATTACATTTTGTTTGCAAGAACTACTAATTTAGCCCTGTGAACACACTCCACCCGTGCTTCTTGGACA